TCCCACTAATCCGTCGATTATATATGGTGGCTTTATGGTAAACCAGGAGCAGCCCAGTGCTGGGCAGTTGGCAGTACTGATTAACCAGTTATATAATGAGTGAAATACCATAGCAAATATCTGGCAGTTACTCTGTACTTTTATTCTAAGAATTAACTCCTGCTCCCCAGTAATTGGTTTTCCCACTTTATTTCTGTGTGCTGCTGTAAAGAAAGGTCTGTGATGCCTTGTGCCTCCTTTAAGCATTTTTACCTCCAAAAGTAAGTACTATGATGGGCAACTCAGAAGTTAGACCTTTCCCATCCTTCTTATCCAAAGGCAAATACTTGATAAAATGCAAAACAATAGAGAATAAAGACCAGTGATGAGATATGTAATAAGGTAATTTTTAATGTGAAAGTTGCATTCAGTGCTCAGACACAGGCTGTTCAAGTTGGACATACATTTTCTGTATACATCACTCAACAGAGGGAGATCTCAGTCTCCTGAACTTCCCTACCAGGACAACATTCACCCTTGGAGCAGCTCTATTCTGCGTCCTCAGATCTCTGCCTCAGAGACTCCTGTGCTGCTCTTCTCCTTGAAGGGCAGGAAACTTTAAGGCAAGAGACATTGTTTTTTCTTCCCCATGCCAGGACAGAATGTGTTTTTCCTAGTTTTCTGACAAAAATCCAATGGCTGTGATGATCATAACAATTATGTTGGAAGAAAAAAAAGCTGATATTTGAAGAAGAGACTCTCCTCCAGCCATCCCCTGCTGTGCTTCCTCCTGGGAGTCATCAGTCCCTGGAACTGAATGAGCTTCCCCATCACTCTGAGCTACCATATGCCTTGTCTCTGTGACACCATTTGTTTTCTTTTACAGTTATTTTCATCCATTGTTAAACATTCCTCTGAGATGACACCTTCTACCTTTATCTGCAGCCAAAACCCACTGCTTGCTCTCTGGGTGGTATATGTCTGCCTCTCTCCTGGATCCAAGAAACTGCAGCTGCATCACTGTGATCTTGTGTCAGCTTTCCCTCTCGCTCTTTCTCCCCTCCAGTCAGAGTTTTCTAGGAAGGCAATGCCCTCGTTCTTCCGAACCATTACCAGTAAAGCCTGTGAGCACTCACCAGTTCAAAAGCTAATGTTGGCTTACCTATGCAAAGCAGGGCTGTTAGTTGAGGAAGGGTAAAATGAAAGCAGGCTGCTAACCCGCCTCTGAACCTGCTCAGATGCGCTTGGACGGAGTAAGTACATCTAACTTATCTGGGTGTTCCTTTGATCCAAAACTGGATCCTTGAGGAGAGCCATTTTTGATCAAACACAGCCTGAAAGAGGAACGCCATCTATGGCCTGACATTTTCTTCAGTGATAATGGCACACACTTCTCCAAACCCAGAGATTTCAGCCTACCAGCTGCCAGTGGCAGTTTGCTGACAGTGGGAAGAAAATCAATTCAGCCATAGCTGCAACCCAGGTACAGCTGCCACAGGTGCCCGCAGACTTCCCTGGAGTACCTGGAAGGGTTTCCTTACATGGCACCAGCACCCCATGTTGTTATGACTTCTCATGTGTAATGCATCCTCTCTTGCCTGCTGCCATGCTGAAGAAACCAGGAGCACAAATGTCCCATACTGAACAGTGTTAAGTTACGTGATTGACAGCTCGTTGCCACGAACAGAGGAACCATGACAGGCAGAGGAACCCCCAGAACCTCACCATAGCTGGCTGAGCCTCTGACAGGGCTGTTCCCAGGACTGTCATGGGGATCCAGTAGTCCCACGGCCAATGACAGAGGCTCCCTGTCAGCTCCCAGATGGAGGGTGTTGCCTGCAGGGCTGGGAGCTCATGGGACAGATGGCTGGAGCCGTGTTTTCTGTCTGCGTTTCACCGATGCCTGTGTGTCTGTGCATCTGTCCGTCTGCAGGACCACATGCTCAGCCTTGCCGCGGGCTGGGCGCGGGTACCCGGAGCCGTGGCAGCCCGGCCTGACGCAGCAATAGCTCTTTTTCACTGTAACACCAAAGCCGCGTTTCTTTCACAGCAATAGGCATCCAAGCCGGCCCCGCAGCAAGCAGCTGCATCGAGAGTGGTACCTGAGCTGGGCTCACTCACACACACGGCTGCTTTAACATGCTGCGCTGCTCCCGTACGTGAATTTTAATTCCCGCGAGCGCTGTGCTGCAGGGATTTACCACCTGGGATCAGCACCAGCCCAGAGAATTTCTGGCACAGACGTGCTCTTTCCAAGAAATGGAAAAGCTCTGCCGTACTTGAGCAGACCTAAAGAAGGTCGTACCAAGCCTGTTCAAAGCCCTTTTTATCCTTTCTCATCTCCAGAAGATGCGAGGGATGCGCTCTAGTGGCTGCTTGGGGGAGAAGGCCTCGCGCTATGGAAGGGGGTAGGCACAGAGGGGATCACGCTGCCCGGACTAAAGTAACATGGCACACGGGAGCACACGGGGCGTGTAAGGCTCAGAGTAACGTTTTTACGGCTGGGCTGAGGCCACGGGAACTTCCAGAACTGTGGAGGGCGGTCCCAGAGATGCTTCACCGAGCACAGTGAGGCAACAGCTTTAGATGAAGAGTTTGGCCCACTTGCAAATGCTAAATCACTGCTGGCTAGAAATGACTTTTAAAATATTTTTAAATTTGGATTAGTTCACATCAAAAAAACATTTAACTTCATAAAAAAGCAAGTGGGTTAGAAAGTAAACCTCAGGGTTCCTTTTAATGCCTGTTCTTTTATGGACAGATGACGCTTCTTGTCGCTCTCCCGGCCGTTCAACAGGGAGAGAAAGAGCACCAAGGCACCGCAGCCCGCAGCAGCACATGGATCTACATGGCCACCCACAGAGACAACAGCCCCCGCCACAATGCAGGAAATTCTCATTCCCCTTGTGCATCTTTTCAGATCATTTGAGGAGAATCATCTAGAGCAGCTGCAGACTCTTCCCAATGTTTTCTACTATTTGGTATCTCATGACAGCTTGAGTATCTCTTCTCCTCCTTTTTTCTTCCAAGCAATGAGGATTTTTCTTTTGTCTCCCTTATCTTTGTATACCACATCGTCCCCTGTGAGGGCAAAACACAGGCTATAGAGAATCCCTCCCTGCCCTAGGCCAGGCCTGTGAGCAGGGCAAGCACTGCCACTTTCACTGCATCTTTTTTGGACACAGCATTCTCAGCTTGCCTCTAACTGGGATGTAATTTGAGTTTGAACACAGATGCCTTGTATCTCTTGGTGCCTGTAGCCAAAAATGGTGAACTTTTAAGATTTAGTTTTTCTGTCTGAGAAGTCAGAAACTGCCTGGAGAACTTGCCTTTCTCTCTCATGACAGCTTGCAGTCCAGATGATGGGAACTTCTGACATATCAAGATGTAGTGATGCGGCAATGCAAGGCACCCCCTTCTTTCCCCTTCAGACATCACACAAACACACCAAATGTCACAGAGGTGGGGACTGCTGGCTTGTGCCTGACTGTGGTTTAAGGGGGTGGAGGGAAGGGACACGACCTAGAGCCACAGACAAGCTCCACCCCACCCTTGGGAAGGCAGGATGGTTTTGGACTGGCTTCCTCACAAACCCAACCAAATCCAAAGGACCTTTTTAACCCCAAGCAACACAAGACAGCACAGCCCACTGGTCCCCTAATTCACTGCTTCTGAATTAAAGGTGTTTCAGCCCCAGACTTTGAGCATGTGTTATAAACTAACAGAAGCAAAGACAACAAGGTGGGTTTTGATGTGCTCATCATTTTTGATGGGGGAGAGACCGAAGAGACCCACTGACTTGATGTTTTAACAGAGAAAGGAAATGGTTTTAGAAAGCAAGTTACCTGTAATCTTTATTTGGATAAGGAAATAAATATGTATTCAACTAGTTTTGATGGTATAATTGTGTGTCATTGCACAAGAATTCATACTTACACTGGAATGTGCACCATTAACTATTAAGTTCCACTTTTCACCCAGAAATACATTCAATGGCTTGGAGAAGAAGGAAAAAAATCCATACAAACAAGGTGTGTCAGAAAGAGGTCAAAAATAAGATTTATTTGCAAATCATTTTGACAATAAACTAGTATCTCTGAGCTGTGCATTTTGGGGACTAGAAGTCAGTTCCTTTGCCCTCTGAGATTTCCATTTGCATGCAATATGGGAATTCAAAACGAAACTTCAAAGTGTCCTTTTTTGCCTTGCTGTGCTGAGTAATTCCTTCCACAGGCACACTACAGGAGAGTCAAAGTCTTTGTAATGAGAAGCTATCACAAGCAACCTTGTCTTAGAAAGAAAACTGTCACATGAGACCTGTTTCACATTTGTTTTACACAGTGTTAAGCACTTCAAGATTCCCACAAGAAGTGCCTGGTGCTGTATGAAAAACACCTCAAACAAGCCAATAAAAAATTCCACCACAAATCCAAAACAAAACCCAAGGCAACCCTAAAACTCACAACTATACTGAAACCTCAAATTTCTTTCTGATGTTAAGAGTGCACAGTGCGTCTTGTTATGACCCAAGTCCCCTCTCTTGGAAGCTAATGAGCTGTGTCTCATGTAAAAAGAAAGAAAAAAAAGTTGAGATTTAATAATGATGACTACTGTATACAAGTGAGCTCAGTACAAAGGCAATCTAAAGTAAGATTTACCTTTGTGCCTGACTGTGTGAATGCAACCTCTAAATTACGGTTAGAGTCACAGCAGCTGAAGAGGAAGACATCTTCAGCATCTTCAGAACATTTCTTCCATTTATGCCTGTGCTTCTCCCTGACCTTGATCTGCCTTTCAAAAAGCCTGGAAATTTCATCTCTGAAGTCACAGTTTGATTTAGATGAGCTCACAAGTGTATTCTGAAAACCCTACATGATTAAGTTCTGAACAGACAAGTTACTGCATCTTGCATTAGGGCAAAGCCCAAAGGTAACACAAGGAAACAAGGTAACTCAGAGAGGAAATCAAAGAATCTGACCCACATCTATTTTCAATACAGTTCTAGAAAATATTAATTTTTATAAAAAAAGAGGGACCTTTTTTCCTGTTTATGAAGCTCAAAACAATCCCAATATTCCGCACTGTAAAAATAATTTCCCCCCCTCTCCCATATATATGTAATAATACAAGAAAAATGTCCAGATATCATTGTTAGCAGTTCAAATAAAGCAATAATGACTGCATTAGATCATTCAAATGTAAATAAACATTGTTTATATATAAATGTATATAAATATGCCCCAAATATCAAAATTGCCTTATAAGGGTAACAACTCTTGGTTGTTCTTTTAAGTATTTACGCAAAGCTGGAGAGAATAATAGTCTTAGAGACATTATTTTATTTTGGGCTAGTTTAGAAAGAGTAAAACAATATTCAACTGGAAGCTCTTCATCATCAGTCCACATGTCATCCCACCATGGGTTCTCCCGATACCTTCTGGGGAACCAAGTCCATTTTTCTGGAATAAATATACTTGGTAATTTCACATCAGCCATTACTGAAATGATCCTGAGAGCAAGGCCCAGAAACTAGGAATCTCTTCAAGCTGAGCACCCTAGCTAACATCAGACTGCCTCCTGCATAAGCTCAAAACTGAGAAAGGGATAATGATTTCAGAATAAATCTCACATTGACAAACACTGCCCTGTCCAACATCTTCAGAGAACAGCAAGAATTTATCATGGGTAAATTTGCAAATCCAGTGGTTATGTTCTCCCATTAGACACCTCCAAGACTTCACTCTTCTAAGCCCTGTGTATCCTTTTATTTCTGGTGTAGTCAAATGTAAAAACTGTTGAGGTTTACTGACATCTGATTTGGGCAACAGTTAAGCTGCAGGTGCCAGCATTCTGCATCAGCCTGTACTCGTTTCAGCCCGCAGAATAAATTTCTTCCCAGTAGCTGGTACAGTGCTGTGTTTTGGATTTATAATGAAAATAATGTTGATAACACACTGATGTTTTAGTGTAAACATGGCTTAGCAACAACTAAATCAGGGACTTTTCAGCTCCTCACCCCACCCCAACAATGAGTGAGCTGGGGTGCATAAGGAGTTGGGAGGGGACAGAGACAGGACAACTGACCCCAGCTGATCAGAGTGTTGTCCCAGACCAGATGGTGCCATGCTCAAAATATTAAACTGCGGGGGAAACAGCGGTCACTGCTCAGGAACTGGCTGGGCATCAGTCAGCAGGTGGTAAGCAATTGCACTCTCCATCACTTGTTTTGTATATTGTAACTCATTTATCATTATTGTTGTTGTTTTCCCTTCTGTTTCTGTCTTATTAAACTGTCTTTGTATCAACACATGAATTTTACTTTTTTTTTTCCCCAACTCTATCCCCCACTCTGCTTTGGGTGGGGGGCAGGCAGTGGTGGGGTGTAAGCAAACAGCTGAGTGGTGTTTAGGTGCTTGCTGTGTTGGAGCCATAACATGGCCCCTAGAATTCATGGGTTTAGCAGTATTTCGCAAGACAAAATTTGACAGATCTCTTTAAGATTCCAAAGTTTGGAAAACTCCTACCCTGAAAGTCCACTATTTGCTGAGGAATTATCATGTTTACTGAGAACGTGAATTAACTCTGAGCATACCATCTTTAATGACAACACTTCAAAAAGACCCCATGCAGTCTCACAAGTTTTGTTCTCTTACACATCCATGTCTGAAACCAAGAAATACTAAGAGGTTTTTTTAGGAGGAGTTTTGTAGAAGTGATCCAGTTTCCAAATGTCATTAAATGTTTTGGCAGAATAATTTTATATGAAATCTGTAATACACTTGATAATGTTTATAATCCAGTGATTACTTACATGAAGTATTATTGCATTTTAAGCGTAAAAATATAAGAGGTTCTATAAAGAAAATTAAAATAGCATTAATCTAATATTGATAGTCATATAAAATAACTCACAATTATGTAAGTTTCCATATTTAATTACACATTTAAAAATAAGTTATAAAAATAATTAAGCTTCTTTAAAACCCCCAAGGTATTTTCTTTTAGGAGTTTTTACTCATATCTACTGATTGTCTAGCATCAGCAACAGCTTCTGGTACTCGAACAGTCATATCATTCATTGATTTCTTCAAGCAGATTTGGCAGCCTAAACGTGATCTGTAGGGAAATATGACATTGTGGTTAGTTCTAGCCCACCAGACATCTAACAGCATTTAACCCCTTATGCCTCCAACATTCAGCCACCCCAAACACATCATGAACTACAAACAGCCACTCTTGTGCATGGTCTTAATCAAGCCCCGCAGCGAACCGCATGTGTCAACACAAGGGTCTGTGTGGCAGTAACAATGATTTATGTTCAGTATCAGAGCTCAGCACACTGGAAAGTCGCTCACCAAGTACTTCCTGCTTACTGAGACAATATGTAATAAGGGTGACCCTTCCATTTTCAGTGGGACACTAACAGGTCAGCCAGGTGCATCTGGCATCTCTGAAGAGAAGAAGGCAAAAAAATCTAAATGAAAGCCTCAGAAAAAGCACAGCTTAACCTCCCTATCCAGGGTCCAATGTTTTCAAACTAAAAAGCTCAAGATTGGGTCATTAAGCCAGAAAAGTAGGAGTGAAAAGACAAGAAACACAGGAAGGAGAAGGATAAAAGGATAAAACACTCAAGGCACTCGAGGAGATGACATCCTTTTTTTTTCTACCTACCATTCATTCTGAACAAAAAAAAGATGTTGCATGCAAGCAATTAAAATCAAAGTATTTAATACAATAACAAAATTCTGCAGACATCAGAAGCCGCTTTTATTGCTGGGATATCTATATTTCAATGTTCATGTCTTTGTACTTAAGTATAGAATATTGAAAACATCAGCAAAGATGGGCAATGTTCTGTAGCACCAGTTCCTGGAAAGACACTAGCTAGCTGACAGCCTATTTCAAAAATCTAAAAGTTACCACTCTCCTGTCCACCCCTCCATATGCATTTATCTGCACCTTTTAAGTCCAAACATCACTTCCTATTGCTCAGTAGCACAAGATCCTCATACTTTTTCACCAACAGTTTTTGATATTACCACAGAGCAACACACACTATACACAAACCTTACTCTTCACTGTGTTTTCCCACATCTTCCACAAACATGCTAATTAATACCTAGTACTTATCACTTTTAGATCACACTGTTGATCACCTATTATTACCAGACAGCCTAATACTTCTACCTTGTTAAAATATAATTTTTCTTAATGAATTACTTATCCTTTACAGGGCCTTTGCTCTTATCCTGTTGCAACTCAAGACTTAGTAAAGTTTTACTAGACCTAAATAAATTACATGAACTGCAAGATCTTTCTTGGCACTCAGTGAGTTATCTGAAGAACTCCCATATCTGCTTCACTCCTCTACAAAAGCTCAGTCGAATTCTTTCCTTACCCATAGTAGACAGTATAGACTATCTATAGACATCTGATTAAAGTGTCCAGTACAGAACTTCAGTGTATTCTTCAGTTTCAATGATCTTTTAAAAGTTGGGTTGCTGCCTTCCCATACCTTTGCAGCAGAAGCAGTTTTAAACCAACCAATTAAGCCTTGCAGACAGTTCAGAAATGCCAGACTGAATTCCTGTAGAGCTCCTGAGTGAATGCTACCTAGCCATTACCATTTGTTACTCATTCTATTTATCTGCTGTAATACTTCCATGGACATATCAGTTTGAGAGAAGATCACAGAATACTCCAGGAAACCTTTTGCAAAGAAACCTTTCAGTGCATGGACATCCCATAACATCTCTAGAGACAAAATAAAAAAAGAAACTTTGCTTTTACGTTATCTTTTTCTATTTTAAGTGCACCTTCTACATCACCCATCAGCTCTTCATGTAGACAAAGCTTCCTGCTTCTGATAGCTTAGAAACAAAAATATTTTTTCTACTTTTTACAAGCTGTTTCTCAGCTTATTTTTTGCTTCAGCATTCTTCTTACACATTTAACTTGCCAGGGTTTGCATTCCCCTTATCTTACTACTTTTAACCATCTCTACTGTTCTGCAGTTAATCAAAACTATTTAATCTTAACCTTTCTAATTAATTCCTCATTTTAAAAAACATGACTTTCATGGCAGTTGCTAGCTGAAACTTCCCCAAATACAGAGTCACTGATAAAAATAAGCTTTTATCCTTGTACCTATGACAGAGCATAGAAGTGCATCTCCATTACACAAATCTGTATCAGCACAGGAGCCCAGGTAACCTGCAGTAAATATCAGTCACTTAAAGCTCCACATTCCAGAAGAGTCATCCTCTCACACATTTGAAAGGTCCCTGGCCATAGGAAGAACACATGATGCTAGGAACACCTAATAGAAGTACCAAACGTGTTCAGAGAGTCTAAAATTTAATTTGGTATGAAGAACTTAGAGAGAAAATAGAAACATTTAAACAAAGAGCTCTGGCTTTTTACTGTTTTTCAGTTCTTCAGTAAAATCTCCTTGCTTTAAACCTTTAAAAGATAGCCAAAGGAAAAAGATTTTTATTAGATCATTTGCCTTCAGAGCTATTTAGGAATTATTTTGGTCCTGAACCTAAAAATTCAGGAAAATTATGGTAGATGGTAAGGGTGAAGTAAATTCACACTTAATAGGCTTATGATCTTTTCAAAACCAAAAATGGGTTTTTGTGAGACAGGAAGAAGAATAAAACAAAAGAAGCTGCAACAAGTCTCTCGTAGTTTAACTTCTTTGCCTTTACAACTTCCCACAGAAGTTCAGATTAGTCTGAAGTGAGAATGTGTATTGTTATATAGAAATGATGAGTATGGGATTCCCATTACTGATACAAGGAGATAGATGAATTAATTCAGAGTGCTTCTTTGCAGAGACATAAAAAACTCTATGCTATACAGGCCAGGTATAAAGCCTCATCATCACTGGAAAGATTCTCAAAAACTTCAATAAGCTGCTCCATTGAAGGATGAAGAAAAGCGTTTATGAAACCTTGTAAGGCACAGCTGCCTACTGTTCATGGGGGCAGGGTTTATGATAAAGGCTACTTGTACACCAGCAGGTAGAACAGCCCACTAGGAATGGGTCTGTGATGAGGATGTGACAACCTAATTACAAGATGTGTGATGGTGGGGGTGATGCAGAACCGAGGGTTACTTTAGACTACCACTAGTCTAATCCTAATGCCTGTCAGCAGTCAGAGCACAGTTCAGGATCAGTTTCTCCCAAAAGGGAATCTGGCTTGTGTGCACCAAGAGTACTTTGAGTCAAAGCATGACAAGTAGGTACACGGACATATGGAACACTGTTTGTGCTAGAGAAGGCTCGGAGGAAGGATCTTAACAATGTACATAAATACCAGAGAGGTTGTAGAGTCTCCATCCTTGGAGATATTCAAAAGCCGTCTGGACATGGTCCTGGGCATCGGATCTAGGTGGCCCTGTTTGAGCAGGGGGTTGGGCCAGATGACCTCAAGAGGTCCCCTCCAACCTCAACCCTTCTTTGATTCTGTGAAAAGAAGATCTGACCAAAACCTAAAACACTAATGTTAACACATTCACTAGCTACAGACTAACAGAGACAGTAAACAGAAGGGAAGAGAAACAAGTACAAGAAAATTCAAACACAGGACAGCAGCAGCAGAGCTTTCGTTGAAGGAATTGGGTTTTCAGTTATACTTTAGTATCTAACATTTCTGCACCAGACACCTCTGAACAAGTACTGGCAACTGACGCTTTTCAGTTACAAAAGCAACACTGACATCTTTTTAGTATGAATTAAGATAGACAATATCTAAACTTAGCAGTCCCATTTTGTGTAACAGAATCCAGCTACTCATTAAAAGCTAATTAAGGTGCTCCAAGAATATTAGACTGCCCCATCTGCAAACCCTTCTCTCCATTCTTTGATGTAGTGAAGTGCTATGTTGCCTTACGTTTCTGTGAGGCCATATGCCAGGTCCAGCATGTCCATCTCTTCATCAGTAATTGCATCTAGTTTCTCAAATATGTGGTCTTCAAATATTAAATGACAAGTTGAACAGGCTAGTGTTCCTTCACATGCACCTAAGGAACAGAATAAATCAAGATGACAGAAAATCCAAGTTTCAAATTGCAGCAGAATTTCAAAAGAAATCCTACATATATAAGTGCTTGTCTCATACAAGAAGTCTCCGTTGATTAGTAAAATTAATGTTTTATATATTCTCACATTCATATACCTACTCTGCATTCAACTGTCAATAGTATTTCTACAGTTCCTATAGCATTAAGATTTACTTAAATATTTTAACTAATTTACAGCATTTAACTAATTCCCTTTCCACCTTTTAAAGAAAGAAAAGTTTTATACTATAAGAATGCAAAAGCAGACAACACTGTCAATCAACACTACTTGATTTATTTCCAAGGCTAATCCTTATCTCTCTTTTTCCCATGGTTTTGAGAAGGTTTCCTCCAGAAGTTTAACAGAAGATACCTGCTACACCAAAAAAAAAATTCCTAAGAAGTACAGGAAGGAGGGAATTTATACTTGGTGTTTCTTCTCACTTAACAGAACACTAATTCACAGTGACAAAAGTAGTCAGGCCAGAGAGATGGTTTTATCTGTGCTAAAGAGGTCTACATGTATTATTATGAGGCAATCCAGTACAAGTCAAGGATCTAATAATTTGCTAGGGTTGAGCAGAACAAGCATCAACAACACCTACATGCTACAGCAATGAGGTCACCACAGGACAGTAAAAGTTTGAACACTAACAAATTTGTCACTGTGTTGGGCTAACACTAAGTTCTTCACATTGCTGAAAAAGAAACATGCAAGTTTAACAGGGCAGGAAAGGCTGAATACTGTGGAGAGTGGGATTGGGGCACACAACAGGCTCCAATTTAAATTGATAGGAGAGAAGCAGGTAACACATTAGCCAATTATCATTTATTTACTCATTTGTAGGGAAGGCAGAACCAAGAATACAGTGACCCCATCACCTTTGTACTCGTAAGGAAATAAGGGAAGCAAGATCACAAGCATAACCACTGCTATGGAAAGAAACAGTGGAATTTATCATCAGACAAGAATTACACACAAAATCACCATGCTGTTACATGCATGCAGTAACAGTATCAACAGCATATATTCAAAGTGAGCATGACACTGTACTAGAATATTTGATTTTTAAAATATATCACATCTTCAAAGACATGTTAAAAAGTAGAGTTCAAATAGAGCGCCAAATACAAAATTTGTCTTGTCAGCAGTCTAAGGATCTTGAACATTGGGAAGGTGAGGGAAGGAGCGAGAGGGGAAGGAAAGAACTGATCAGTCTCCTTTGGACAGTGGAAGGTCTCTCCACAACTGTAAAGCTAGCAGTCATAAACAAATTGAGTGCAGCCAAATCATTCAAGAGTTTTATAAGCCTTTACACAAAGATATTTCTATTATTATTACTGCACATGGGATGCCCCCTAGTGATAAACAAATAGGTAAGATTTATGTTTCACTTTTCCCTCAGTTTTTCTCTAAACAAAGAACACACATTTTTCCTGTGTTATTTCTCCGCCCTAGTATGATGTTTCATTAGTAAGTGGTTATTGAAATGGGACCAGCATATGTTATAATTAAAGATTGCTACAGTATTCCACATTTTTTTTTTCAGTTTGGCTTCTGATTACTGACAGCATCATTTTTTCCCACTTCACCATAATGCCTTAACATGGTTGATATTTACACAGAGAACATTTACTGTAGGATACAGACCAGCCATAAGCCTATGAGTCATTTAGTAAGTGACAGATACAGCTAATTAAACCAGTGCATTAGATGTTTTTAAAAATGTCTCTCTTAAGAGACAATTCTTCTTCCCCAGACGTATGCAGCTCTAGATATAAGAGTTGTCTCAGATATTAAGTGTAAGATTTTAAATCATATCAAAGATTTCATTACTAGCAGTAAAACTTATTTGCACTTAACTAAAACACACCTCAGATTTCAAACTGTGCTATAAGTCTGCTTTTTTTTCCTCCAGTTGCTTCCTATTACATGTTCAGTCCTGAAAATTGTGCTTCCACTTCCTACTTTAGTTCTATTAATTCTTCAGCTCATATTCATATAAATACCTCTCTGGAGGTATTTAATTGTCATTTCCTAATACCACTGGTTTGTATGGGCAGAATCCTACAACTTCAATGGAACTACCTTTGAGCAATGTGGTCTAGTGGAGGGTGTCTATTGGAGGGGGATTGGAACTAAACAAACTTCAAGGTCCCTTCCAACCCAAACCATTTTATGATGCTAACTAAGGAAAGTGCAAAAGTTTGAAGTAACAGGGAGAAGTTACAACTTCCTCCTATTTTGATTTTAAACAGAACTCATACCAAGTTAGAATTTCATGAGGGCTTTGGTCTCTTTTACTCTAGTTCTTTAATAAGAATTAAACTTCTCACTCTTCCCTGCTAACTGACATGGATTTGGTTGTTTATTTGTCTTTGCACTCAAATACTACAAACTGTGTTACAAAAAGCTTGATAATAAATTGAGACAGTATGGCACTACAGAAGTAACCAGACACTTTCAGAAATACACCAGTTTTGTGTTGCCTCCAGAACCTTTCAGCTCAGAAGAGTCTGCAGATGGCATCTTTCAGATTCCACCTTGACAGCACTCTGTTCACATTCCCCTCCTTTAATATTCAAGCCAAGATCACCTCAAATATTTTTTTTTAAAACTTGAACCAAAATATTCTATGCACCTGCAGGAGAAAAAAAAGAGGAGAAAATCCAAGTAAAGTACAGGTAGGTTTTATATAAAAATTCATATTCATTTACGGTTGGACTTGATCTTAATGGTCTTTCCCAACCTAAATGATACTATAGATACTTATGCATAAACTGGAAAGTAATTTCTAGACACTGAATACAGTTTTCAGTGCATCTACTTACCAAAACCATCTATGTCTAGATTATTATCAACAACAACATCCAGCAGTGAATCCCCAGGTTTTCCCTTGGCTGTCAGTTTGTCACCATCGCGATTTATGAAGTGAACAGTTATTTTATCTTCTGAGCTGAAAAAGAAAATTACATACTAGAATTAAAGGATTCTAGACCTTTTTAGAGCTTTGGCATTGATTGAATACTACTAAACTAATAATCACAATCAACTCTAAGAGCTGAGAAATCTAAGTTATTGCCTTTTAAAAGCTGTTACAGGTACAGGCATTTACTGGTGTACATTGAACAAAGACCATGAAAAACAAAAAAAACCAAAACAAACCTTGGTTTGTGTTTTGTCACTAAAAGCTATATGGGATCTTGATGTTTTGCCTTTCACCAAAGAGGATCAGAGCTATTTTATTTTAGGCACAATTTTTAACAAATAAAAGAGTTCATTTTAAATGTTTCTCTCCCCACCTTTCTGTGGACTCTTGCTTTGGATTTATGACATTTTTATTGTTCTCATCATTATCATTTAGCATAAATTGTAAGTTTCCCCGTTTCTGCCTAGAGTTTTAGATATTTTACTTTATTAGTTACAAAATTTACTTCTCCTCTCCTGCCAAAACAGGAAATACTCAAAAAACATTCTGCTGTCTTCAAGCACAGATTCTCTTAGGAGTTCGACTTGTAAATATTAATTCTAGTGAAGTTCAAAGTTTTTACATATTTTCAAGGAAAGAAGGTTTTGTATTTTTCTGCTTTGCTTTTCAGACAATTATTTAAGAAAAAACTCTCTTGCAGTCTGCATAAAAATGTCTTATCCTAAAGCTTTTAATATGAAAAAATTGATTTTTTTTGCATTCTGTATTATATTATTTCACATGCAAATTAAATGAAGGCTTTAAATATACTAATGAAATACAGTTTGTTCCATTTTAAGCAGACTATTTTTTTTCCTACAGTAAGTGAGCAAAACAAGAAAAACTTATTGGATGGACAGTAAGAAAGCCGCCAAGAGATGAGAAAAAAAAATGGAACAACCAAAAGGTAATGCAAAAATTTATGTTTCCATGTGAAATCCATACATAAGAACCACTTATTATTCTTATGCTTCTTATTACCTGTACTCATTTTTAGTAACTGTGGGCCTTGAGTGATTTATCATATGCAAAACACACAAGCCTGAAAATCAAGTCATCCTCTGTAAAACTAACCTGTAGAGCTGAATATTAAAGCAAAAATTTGAAAGTGGCCATGCTGAAACATCAGTGAACAAATTACTTTTGTAACTGGCTGGAAAAGAAAATGTGTTTTCGGCAACAGGAGTCCTAGGTTGTTATGAGAAACAACAAATGTTTGTTGCTGTAGACTTTATATACTTGCCACAACTGTAAGATCAGTTGGCAGCAGTGTGTGCCAAGATGATTCATTATGATGTCATGCTCACTTCTTTTGCTATCATACCTCAGTCCATTCTCCAGAAGGCAGCCACAAGCTATTATTAACAATAAATTAATTCCAAAATAATTGATAATGAAGGATTGACCTTGCTGATCTGCTGATCTGCAATGCATTTGAAGCATGCACTATAATAAAATTCAGACATCTTAAATATACATCTTTACAAAATGTAATTAATGTTGCACAGTCACCTGTGATATCCAAGGACCACCTCCAGCAAACCGTTCTGTGGGAGTTTAAGTCACCACTCTGCTTTTTGTTGTGCTCCTCTGCTATGCTAACACCTCCCACAGCAGAACCAAGGAAACAAGCACCCACTTAGATAAACTAGTACAAAATTCAGCACCTCCACCGGGAGTTTAACACTGGTGGGTTTCGACTGCATCTGGAAAGGGTCACATTCCGAGAGCCAAAGTAAACCACTCACAGCGTAATTTAAAATGGCTTCAAAAAGCCCTTCCAGAGGTCAAAGTACACTCTCCTTTGATGAAATATTTCTGTTAAGATGACAAACACAACCCTGACAGGAGATACAGTGAGAGATGTACTTGCATTTCTGGGCATCCTCAGTACATGGCAAGTACTAAATATTTATTCCAATATCCTAAATATACCCTTTACTCTATTATAGGATGAGATGATCACAAATAACACGGACCAAACAGCAGGATGTGTGTCTGTCCAATAGATCACTGGAACTTTTGTACATGACAAGTCGACTCCCTCCCAGTTTTCAAAACACATTTGAAACTGTCTTCACTCGTGATCACGCTTTAATCTGGTACAACACCACAGTGTCACAAGAACAGTCCTGCCCCCGCTCCTTTGTTCCTTCCCTCTCCAGCGCTCACACTGTCATGTGGTAAACTGGGCCGGGAAAGAAAACTGGTCGAAAGTTGATCCTCATAGGCCAATGGCTACATAGATGTCAGAACTGGCACAGTCAGATCTGACCCTCAGACAAAATTTAACACCGGTTTAGAACAGTCGTGTTCCTGCGACTTTATGATGCGATGACACAATCTAAGCTTTCCGATCAGATTAAACCAATCTCCTTCTGGAGTAAAAATGTGGGTTTGGCTGATCCCCACTTCAGTCAACTCATTTTGCTAATCTGGATGAAAATTAACCATAAAAACAAAGTAGTCCCAGCTGGACCAGACAGCAAAACTGACAAAAGTGCCACTGCCCACAGCAAAAATGAGGAAACAGCAGTGGAGCAATCTTACATTTGCTTCAGCCAGTTGTGGATCTGTACCATGGCTGTGCTCGCCTGATGGGTGTGGCATGCAGCAAGGGGACAAACAGAAATATCACTTCTTCACAACTCAGTGGCATTTGTTGAAGACTGATACAGTAATTAATCTTTCCACAGGACCTAAATCCACCCTGATTGATAACTGAAGCTAAACTTCATTTATTTGTGTAACGTTAGATACAGCCTTCTACAGTCTTGCAGGACTGTAGATATGATTTTCTGCTATTACCACCTTTACCACTTCTCACATAGCCAAAACATTTAATTTAGAAAAATCAGTGAGGCTTTATTGAGTGGTGAAAACACTTTCAGAACCGTGGTGTATGTAATAATCAGACTAGTCAGACATTCAAAACACACTGAGCAAATCTTTTCAATGACTGGGGGATACCATTAGAAAATAAAATTCACACCTGCATGAAACAATACTTAGGCTTTATAAATTTCAAGTAACATAGCCTTTGTCTACCCAGACATTGTTTGCATGAAGAAAAACAACCAAGCAAATACCGACACGATGTGAACTAGTCACAGGCAGTTAATATGAAACATGTGTCAGGCCTATGCAAGTATGAGTAGCCTCAGGATTATCAGGAAGAACAAAACATAGTTTGTGTTATCTGCATGGAGCATAAATATTCCAATTCATTCCCAGATAAACCAGATGAAAAACACAATTAATTTCTTCATATGGTTGCCACAGCACTATCAGCTTTTTTATCAAGCTTCACTATGACACTCTATATTGAGCATACTGCAAATGCACAGAAGAGCACAAGAGAACTGTAAATGCTGTTCATTGTCTCTCCCGTAAATAAAAAGAGTAAATACTGCAAGAATCCCGACAGCTACCTCTTCCTCCTTAAAAGAAGTGTTCTTTTGGATCTCAGATATTACTTCCAAGTTAGGAATCACCTCTTACATTCTTCCAAACAAAACATAAAGGTAACAACTGTAGCCTAGTGTTGCAAGTGGCAAGACCAACTCTGTTATTTCCAGATCTTTTAATAAACAGCAGCAAATCCAACAGCCCTAAACACCTAAAGAGTCTCACAAATGAAACTATTAAACAGGCCTCAATTAAAATACAAAGTTATAAACCTGAACTAATCTCTAAAGCATGCAATAATTATGCTGTGCACCAAAAACATTGTACAGCTATCCAAACTGGTATAAAAGAATTCTGAGATAGCTTCTGTTCACCCCGAAAAGAAAAGGAAGGGTAACAGATAAAAGTGGAACAAAAGAAAACAGAAAATGGAAATCAAAACATAATGCCTGATGCTTCACTGAAACCCTTTGGAACCTCTGCTCACAAGAATCACTTCAGGTAATGTTTTGTATGATGTTTTCACCCTCTAGACACAAATACAGCTGATTTTACATATACAAACAATGACGTATCTTGTTACTGGAATAACACTGGCTGACTATATAAAGGTCAGGAACTGGGGCTCAAATAATACAATGCCCAGAAAAGGCAGGACTAGAGAAAGTAACTCTCACATATATTGAGAAAACAATAATATCCGAAGATTTTCCTTTTCTTCTGATTCATTCAGCCAGGTTATGATACGGAATATATAAACAACACATTTGAAATACTTGCTTGCATAATCTTTTTTGCTGGTGTGCTTGCACAATGTGAATAAATTCCATTTGTATTCAGCCTGTTTGTGAAAGACCTCAGAGATTACAGGTCTACACTACTACAACTACTACTATTACTGCTACATTACTATTAAGTAAGGAAATGTTTTCCCTTCTAAGTATTCTTTTCCCCTCATTTTTACCCTGTTCAATAATTTGAATACCTTTTTAAAAACTGACAGTATTTTGCAAAGGTTTTTTTTTTTTTTTAATTAAAAATCGCAAATCGGGGACTTTAAAATCAACTGATCAGCAGCAGGGTCACTCAGAGAAGAGAGTGACCAGCAACTTACCCATCTCATATGGGAGTCCTAGACTAAAACATTAAGTTTGTCTCTCCATATGAAAAGTATCTGCTGGAACAAAGTCAAAAAGCACCTACAGGAGAGTTTAAAAGCAAACTATTGAAACAGCTTTGATGGTGAGGGCACTATCCCAACCCTCTTGAAACAGAGCAGGGTACACCCCTGATGCTGGGCAAGTGATTGCAGGTCCTGTTCAGAGTCAAGGAAACTTTTCTGACAACCAATTAAACCAGGCTTTTAAAATTTCCGCATTTTAAATACTGAAAATTTGCTACAGACTATGACCTGTCTTCAAATATAAAAACTACAAGCCAGAAGGCTGTGCATAAACAGTTTTTGACTACATGTCACAGAACTACAGTTAAGGACTGCGGAATATTAAACCCGTACAGATGAAATGCACTTTGAAACACCTACTCTTACATACTGGTGAGGACAGGAGGGGTTCTGCATACTCCGATCACAGAATCAATTAGTATGGCAAAGACCTCTGAGATCATAAGAGTCCAACCTGTGACTGAATACCACCATGTCAGCTAGATCATGGCACTGAGTGCCACATCCAGTCTTTATCCTTAGAGAAAGACGCACAAGTGCTCTTCAGTAGTGGAAAACTATACCAAAGGCTGAAGAGACCTTCAGTATTGGGCTCTCTGATATGCGCTGTATTTTTACCACAAGCCTAGTCAAGCTTCCAAAAATGGGGGGAAAAAAAGCAAGCAACTGCACTGCACGAATAAGCAACTTTGCTAAGGTCACAACCTTTTAGAGAACTAGCCTGAGCACCACGAACCCTGGTTTACCGTTCCACAACACCACAAGCCATTCCAACGGGGTTCCAGGTCACACCGACCCCGTGCCTCACCCGGGCCGACCCGCAGCCCCAGCACAGTCCTGCGGGGCACAGGTAGGATCTCCGAGAGCGCTCCGGAGCCACCGCCGGCGGACGGCGAGGGCAGGAGCGGCCGTGAGGGGCGGCGGGGCCGGGGCCCATCCCGGGTCACCGCGGGAAGGTCACCCCGCGCCAGGCCGGCTCGGGCGGCCCGTGCCACGGGCAGCCGCTGGCCCCAGGTGCCCTCAGCGCCGAGGCCCGGCCCGGCACAGCTCCTCTGGGGAGCTCGCCCGGTGCCTCACGGCCGCGACCCTCTTACCTGAGCACCGCCCGGGCAGAGAGGCTGAACGGCCGCGCTGCCCTCACAGAAGCGGCGGCGCTGCCGCAGCCCGGCCTCATCCCGCCCGCCGGCGAGCTGGAGGAGAAGAGCCAGCGGCGTGAGGAGGCGGCGGCGGTGCGGAGGAGCCGTGCCGGCCCCGGGGCGGCCATGGCGGCGGGACGGGAGCGCGGGGCCTCGGCGGCAGCGGGGCGGGGGCAAAGTCCCCCCGCTCGGGCGCGCGGCGGCCCTGCAGCCACTCTCACTGCCGGCTACGGAGCGCGCGGCCCGCCCCGCCCGCGTGACCGCGGGGTTACGCAGAGTGTGCGCAGGGGAGGGGCGGGCCCCACGCACACGGCGCGGAGAGAGGCCGGCGCCGGCCTGCCCGGAACCCTCAGGGCTCGCGGTGATTCCCGGTTCCAGACCTTAACCCTGGTCTGCACGGGAAGGTGGCGACGTGGAACCCAGCGTGTGCTGGCCCCCTGCCCAGTTGTGTCCGTGAGGGATTTCTTGTCATGTCAAGGACAGGGCGCTGCGCGGTCGGTGGCACACACGGTGGAGGTGTCGCCCAAAGAGCCTTCACCACATCTCCAGTGCCCCTGTGGGGGGCCCGACGTGCGGGGGACTAGGCTCCAGCTCCAGGCTGGGCAAGTGGTCGGTGAGACCTGGAACCCCATTGAAACAGCTTATAATATGGAACTCCCAGGGAAGTGGAGCTGGCAGCTGGGAAGACTGAGCTGTCCAACAGGGCTGCCACAGAGAAATTCCCAGTTCCTCATTACTATTTCTTATGACAACAGATCCAGCTCCTAAAACCCGGATGTCAGCAAAAGGACAGCAGCACTATCAGAGAATCTAACAGGAGATGAGCATTCATGGTGAATAGCACAAAGATGAGTGTGTGCAATAGGAAATTTTGAGATATCCTGAGCAGTTACAGACTGCACATGTAGGCTTAATTTGTCTCTCTACCAGTTTTGATTAGATGGTTATGTAGAAACCCTTTACCACACCCAGACTGGGGAGTTCTGGGTGAATGAGAAGAAATGGAGCCTGTAATTTAAAATAATTAATTCAAACAGGAGTGGAAATAAATGGGGGAAAAAAGGGAATGTTGTTTACCTCTGATGCTCTTGAGGTTGCTAAGATCGTTCCTGATACCTTATGATTTTGTTGCATTAGAGTAAGATCAAAGAGGGAGATGTACTAACTTGAACCAGTGCATTTTCTTTAAGGAGAGGAGAAGGTCCCGGTGGACATGTCAAGAGCCTACAAACTGCCCGGCCAATTGACTTGAATGTGTAAGTTTTCTCTGCTTCAGGTATAAAGCTGCTAGCCTCGAAGCATGACTCAATGTTGCTAGATGGATTCCCTTTACCCATTACAGATATGGCCAATGTGAGATTTTAGATAGTCCGCATCTTGTCTTTTACACTTTATTTCAGTTATTGCTATGTCAAACTAGCTTTTACAACACCTATGCTGTAAAACCGAATTTGTTTCATGTCATTATCCTTTACATTACAGTATTCTTTCCACAAAAGCAAATATATATGGCTCTCCCCATCTAGATTTAGCATTGGACTTTAAAAGCTTTACAGTTACCTACATACACGGTATATCTCCACATTTCAGCTGACATGAGACTGACCACATTTTCTACGTAATTTCCTTAGAAATTTTACCTGTCACAGAGGCTGCAGTAACTTTATTCTGGTTGCCACTGTGTACAATACGGGAAGAATAGCTTTCAGTTATTCTTTGATTACTAGCAAAATAATAGCATTTGTTCAATATACCACTCATAGAATAATATTTTAAAAATATAACTGAAATCAGTGCACTCAATATGTTTATTAAATCATATATTATTATAAATGCAGTTAAAATATGTGAATATATCATAGAGAAGTCACCAAAATAAATACTCTGAGGGCTTGATCCTCAGCTACTTTACTGGTATCCCCTCACCCACAATGAGCTCTTTTTCATTGGTTTCTTTTCCAACACAAGAGAATGTGGCCATAAATAATACAGTTTCTTTCAATGCTCTTACTACAGCATGGGGTCATATATACATAATCCTATAGCTAAATACATACAGCTCTAGCTGGACTTCTAATATTGTAAAGCCCAAAGAGCGCATCAGATAATCTAGTTTGACTTCAACCAGAAGGCTGCTTGTTACAAATTAATGGTTAATGCAGGAAATAAGTCTGAAAGGGACCCTCTGTACCTTCTAATGTTGCATGTGACCTCTTTGCTGTCACATGCAACTCAAGTAAATAAATAATTTTTAAACTAAATATTTATCTTTTTCCTAAGTTTTCTTGCTGCTGTTAATTGCACTGAAAAACAGTCGCAAAATTTCATTCCTTGGAAGTGGAGAATGCCAAATTATTTATCAATTTTCAAGCAATTTCTTTTATTAGTTTAGTTCTTAGTATAGGATTATTTATGCTGATTTTTTCCTGGCCAGGGCTGCTTATGAATTTAGTTTTTCTTCTTTCTGAAGTTAACTGATAATTTGTTGTACCCTCTCCAGCCCTTTTAATTTAGCCTCTGTTATCACTATTGTCCTACCTTTTATTTTAGCCACTGTTATTTCTAGTCTCCTTCCATAAGACAGGAAACTCTCACTGTTCTGGTTATGCCACTGAGCCATTTGTGCATATGTTGATTTGAATTCCCTGTTGTTAAACATGGGTGACTAGTTAGTACATTCAATTCAGGTCTTGTACAGTGTCTCTATTAGAAGCATATGGCCCTGATACATCCCAAGATTGTATTTGATCTTTTTTCATGTACAAATTAAATTAGTAGCCTCAAATCAGTGAGCTTTAAATCAGTGTGATCAGTTAATAATTTAGATGTCCTTTGATGCTTCTCATTAATGAAGCCATCATTAACAGCAAGAGTTCTTGATTTGCCCAAACTGAACAACGTAAGCTCTTTGAACTTCGCTTCGATCCGCTTTCAAGTGGGATTTTCATCCATATACTGTTTTAATGAAGAAGGCCATCAACTTACTTTACCCCTGTGCTGGATATGTTCCATAGCTCTGTTCCAGCCCTCTGACTGCCATGGCCCTGAGCACATTACCCCTTTGCAAAAGTTTACTTGGCAGAATCCAAGGTCAGCTCCTCCACTGATAAGAGCAGTTGTGAGAAAAGCCATAGCGAGGGCCTGCCTCTCCTTTCTCTTCAGAGCCACTTTTAAACTGAGGCCTTGTGCTGGCCCGTGCCTGTGCCAGCAGCTCTGTTTGCACCATCCCACATCTCCATGAGTCTGGCCCTGATCCAGACTTGCTGACTTGGCATCCTAGCTTGGTCTCGGACCTGCCTTGCCACTGCAGCCCTGCTGGGTGACCACTGGGCTGTATCTGACCCTGACCATTGTCTCTCAACCCAGTATTGGCCAGGGGTTGCTGTTCTGCATCCTGGCTCCTTGTTGGTGAGGTGACTGCTTTTACCCACCTCAGTATTGTGCTTAGCTCCTGGCACACCTTCTGTTGCAGAGTAGCCAGCTCATGCTGCTCCCTGGAACCTCCCACCCCCAAACACAGGGCCCTCCTAATTCCCTCATAGTTTGTATATAATGTACAGTTTTGGGTAGGCAAGCTGGAAGGAAATGGTGGAGCAAATTAGATCGGGACATCTTGACACAATAAGAGGAATAGAGTGAAATAAAGGAGAGAAAAATTACCAGCGGGGTGTACCTAACCTCTCTCTGAATCTCACCTTGGTTGTGTGAAGGTTTTTGTTGCTTGTCTCCATGGGATGTTCATCCTAATGGTAGAGCACTTTACGGGAGGCACTTCATCTTTTTTCATATTTTTTTATAGGTTCTTGCACACTGGGGAACAGATGCAATACAAACATTTCCCCCCCCCCCCCCGAAATTATACCCACCAATTCTTTACTATTTTAAGTTTGTATTTGTAGGAGGCCAACAAACCACTAGATGGCGAAAAGTTTCAGCAAGATAATGCATGGGTATTCATATGACCTTCTGTCCTCAGCTTCACCATTCTGTTTCTGTCGAGCTTCATGAGCTGGACCTGTTGGAATGAGTCCAGAGGAAGGCCATGAAGATCATAGAATCATAGAATCAGCTGGGTTGGAAGGGACCTCCGAGATCATCAAGTCCAACCCTTGATCCACTACTGCTGCAGTTGCTAGACCATGGCACTAAGTGCCACATCCAGTCTCATCTTAAAAACCTCCAGAGACAGTGAATCCACCACTTTCCTGGGCAGCCCATTCCCATGCCTGATTACCCTCTTTGTAAAGAAATTCTTTCTAATACCTAACCTAAACCTCCCCTGGCACAACTTAAGACCATGCCCTCTTGTCTTGCTGATAGTTGCCTGGTGATCAGAAGGCTGGAGCACCTCTCGTATGAAGAGAGACTGAGAGTGTTGGGGTTGTTCACCCTGGAGAAGGCTCCAGGGAGACCTCATTGCAGCCTTCCAGTACCTGAAGGGGGCTACAAGAGAGCTGGAGAATGACTTTTGACAAGGGAATATAGTGATAGGGCATGGGGAAATGGCTTCAAAATGAAAGAGAGATTAAGATTGGATGTCAGGAAGACAGTTCTTTAGCCAGAGGGTGGTGAGACACTGGAACAGGTTTCCCAGAGAAGCTGTGGATGCTCCAACTCTGGGAATGTTCAAGGCCAGGTTGGATGGGGCCCTGGGAAATCTGGTTTAGTGGAAGGTGTCCCTGCCCAGGGCTGGCAGGCTGGCACTTCATGAACTTTAAGGTGCCTTCCAACCCAAACCATTCCATGATTCTGCGATCATTGAGGCCATAGCGTGTAGTACCATGACAGTTCATAGAAATCCAAGGTAAAGCTGACACAGTCCTTCTCCTCCCTGCCTCTCCCTCCCTTTTGCTTTTCTAGTGTTCATGAGTCAGGTGTGGTGTAGATTCATAGCAGTGATTTTCGCAAAAACTAACAGGGAAAAAAAAAGGAAAGAAAAAATAACAACAGTAATTAGAGTCTCCAATGAAAGAAAAAAGTATTTCCAACTGCACAAGATTGGTGCTGACAATGAATTGCAGCCTGATATCCACTCCTCTTGTCTACTGGTGCCCAATTTTCTTCTCTGAAGAATGCTGTTATTAACTATCAGTAACACATTTTTGCTCTCTTCCCGGAAGTCCATACAGTT